TTCCGGATATATCCGGAAGACTTTCATCTCTGTTTAAAATATCTACATTGTATTACCATAGTCAATATTTTCAGCTATAAATTTTAAACACTGCAGAAACTGACAAAGATTTATCATTGGTATAGAGCCTGACCTTTCAAAATGGTGATAGGTCTAAACCTAATACAATTTATAATATGTTCCTAAGTCTTCTAATCGTCCACTGCATCCTATTGTTCTCTGCACAACATAAATTTTCACTTTTCCACAAAACTAACTTCTCAAACCACTTTATGTATTCTACATTGATGTGAATGGTTATCAAGTTGCTCTATCCAATGATATTTAAACTTTACCTATGGCTACTTTGAAAGCTGAGTATCATTAGCTGTCCAATTACCTACTGAGGTCATAAATGGATGAGAATAGACTATTAAAATTCAGAGAAAAAGAAAACATGAGAAACAATGATAATTATATTTTCACTGGATGATGTTTTCTTAGCTAATATAAACTGCTTTGGGATGGACAAACAAATTATAAACAAACAAAATCAATGTTAGTTACAGTTGAGGCTTCTCAGAGCTGTGCAGAAATTTATATTTGAATATTTTTTTGAGAATTACAATAAATAAATGTTAAATTAATTTTGTCTCTTTAATTATATGTATGTATGTATACATATTGTACATATTTTCAGGCATTAATAACTACATATTCTTGTTTTACTTAGATTAGAAATAGTAAAATACATATGAAGATTAAAAAATATTACTCGATAAATGTCATACTGAGGAAAAAATTACCGAATAGATGTGATGTTGTGGATATATTCTACCTAAATATACATTACAAATTAAAGGATTTTATGCACCTTTTACTTATTATAGAAAGGTATGGAATAAAATCCATAGATTTTTTTAAATATAAAAATCGAAATTTTATACTCTTAAAATGTATCACATTGAAATATACACTATTACTGCTCTTAACTTTCAAATTGTTTATGCAAAATATATAATTAAAGTAAATCATGGCATTGCATAAAAGAACTAAATTTCTGAAACACATTGAATACATACTCCTTTGCATAAGTTTTAACATAGTTCATGAAGTCCTTCTTTGAAAATGCAGTTTCAGCAAGCCTCTGATTTAAGACAATGTCTAAGCCAGATTCAACACAATCATCTGCATTTTCATCGCAACCCTCCTCTGCAGATGGATTGAAGCCTTCGAGTAAAACTTCCCCCTGCTTTCTGGTCACATGCTGGAAAAACAAAGATCAAAATATCTTTAGAATAGAAAATATATACACAATAGCATATCAGAAATATATAAATTTGGAGTCCCGTATATAATAATGTTCATGCAAGTCAGGAACCGCAATTCAAAAGACATACTCGTGTTTTGTTAAATACTACAATTATTTATTGGATAAAAGCAACTATTCTATTGCTAACAAACTGTGAAATATGTAGGCTTGTTCTCTGACAAACATTTTTTTGGTTAAAAACTTATGGAATGGTTTGGCCAATGGTGTGACATGTTCTGCTTACCCAAGCCAATCACCACACTTGCAAATGTGAAGCTAAATTTAATGTGGCAAATCTAAATCACATTTAAATTTGCTCAAAAGTGAATATAAATTCATTATTACTTTCTAAGGTAATCTTGACAACAAAGAAACCACCACTGAACATCACATAAAAGCTTACGGTAAAATCAATGAGACACTTCATCAAATTAAAATTTTAGACTTGTGACAGTTTTCTTGACAGATATTTAAGGAATCTTTTGATTCAATCCAGATGACCTTCCATTAACAAATACAATACCTGGCTCTATAATACTTTTTCTAAATTGTTTTACAATTAACTTCTATCATTATGATCAGCAACTCTAACCCATTTAACAATACTTTTTAGCACACTTTACGTGTACTGTTCTCTTATATTGTTGTAGTTCTATTTTCTTTTTGGTTACTCTAGTTTAAAATCAGTTCGGTACCTGTGACATTCATTGACCCTTGAAAAGGGCATAAGCCAAAACACTTTCATCTGAAGTTGTTTGTTGTCTTCATTGAGAATAGAAATTCACCCACAGAAACAAATACATAATACTAAGACTATCCAATTGAATTTGTCAACACATTTTAATATTTTTATGGTTTAATTTCACAATTGCCTTTACTGTATGCTTATGCTGCATTGCCAGTGTAGAATAAACATCCCACACATGCCTAAGGTTATTTATCTTTTATGCAGGAATTTTCTTGACATACAGAAGGACTAATTTTTACCAATCAGAGATAGCCTTACTTAGATCAAATAGAAGTTCCATATAGAAGACGTCCTAGGCTCCAACAAAACAAAAATCAAAAGAAATCAAACCATTATTGTCCTTTTTCCTGCCAGACCAGAAAATAAAAATAATGATAACTGATCAGGCATGCAGCAAAAGACGTTTGAGCGTGACCAATCAAGCACAGTTAAGGCTCAATGGTTCAAGGCCTTTACATGGTTAGTAGTGAGGGATAATCTTGAGTTTTTATATGACATGACATCAACATTTTATACATATACTTATAGCTTTAAAATATGTTCAAGACAGGAATATTTAAATAACAATTTGTTATTAATTAAGTATATAGCTATTGATAGAGGATTTGAACCAAATATAGTAGACAAAGCATTTAAGAAGTTTAACAAAAATGCTAATTCAGTTTAAAATACCACATTAAAAATCTGGTTATGAAAAAAAAGAAAAGAAAATAAACTCTAAGTTAACCTTACGTTTCAGGTTTAACAAGTCAATTATATAAAGTATTTAAAAAGTATCGGAATTTTTATCCTATCTTCAAACCAATAAATAAGATAAAGTATATGATAGGGAATGATAAAGACAAAATAGAATTAACAGATAAAACGGGTATATA